CCCTTTAAAGGGACCCCATTATTTAGGTCCTTTCATCCTTTGGGCTAATAGCAACTCAGGATCTGTCGATGTGCGGCACGGCGAGCTGGGATCTCTGCCACACGCTTGCCGCACGGTGGCCGTGGACACCAATCGCTTTCCAGCACCTCAACATGTTGAATTCCCGCATTTCTATGCGCTCAATTGTGCGGTATATTCTGGTGATTCTGGTGGCGCTTTAAAAATAGAATGCAAAGTATGTAGAAGCTTCGACTTTTGAATTTTACACGTGCTACCATTGCAAAAAAGCAGCTGCATTTTCTTGCATGGGGGCACATCCAGCTGCACTTTCGGGCTCTTCAGCGCTACACTGGTTTCGGCAACGGCCCCTCTACCCGTAACCCCTAAACCCCGAACCCCTAAACCCTAAACCCTAAACCCTAAACCCTGTAGAATCCCTCCAAGGCTGGCTTCAACCATGTGGACCCAGCAGATTATGAGAATCTGGCCGCTGCTTTTCGCACTTCTCCCTCTTTGCAAGCTGTGGATGAGATTGTGGTGGTGCATGAGGGTCACCGGGCCATTTCACCTTTTTGTTATTCAATAGCTCTATATGATAATACGGATAATAGTAATGAACATCAGAAGACATCTCGTTGTGAGGAATCCACCCTCACCGCCTTGTTAATGTATGTTATACGGTTTGGTTTACTAGTTTACTATAATACTGTGTTCTTAGGCAGCTTTTGCAAACTTTCTTAAGTTATTGTTGGGGACCTGGCAACTCAGACAATAGTAGGTCACACACGCATGCTTGCGTACCACGAGAGCGTAGATGTTCTGGTCGCAATTCTGCAAGAGGCTTTTCCCGGCAAGACTGTCCTGCGGGTGCCTTTAGGCGAACTGGAGGAACGATACGGCCAGAAGCCAACAGCATGTAACGGCACCGCGCAGCCCAAGCAGTTTTTCCTTCTGAATGCTGACCTTTCTGTTGAGACGGACCACCAGGGCGAGGATGCCCCGGATGCCCAATTGGCATCCCGCCGGTTCCTACCAATGTTGGATCGGTGCATGGGTTGGGATGTGAGATCCAAGGCTGCCCACTTTGGCTTCCTCCATCCCATACTTGAGCAGTGCTGCAACAGGCTCAATATCCCGCTGTCCAGCATGCAGGCCAGCTTTGCCGTTTCAGATCCTGACGTCTGCGTTGCCAACCCGCGTCACCGCGAGCATCTCGCCGGTCTCGTAGACCGCCTGGTGACTGCTACAAAGGCGCCAAACGTGTTTGTGAAGAATGACAGGGGCACCTTGGTAGCGGAAAGCCCTAGCTCTAAATCATATATGAACTCTCGAAGCTCATTATACCACGGGTGCGGTTGTTTTGGCAATACGGGTCCAGCCAAATTTGAGGAAAAACAAGTAAGGCCAAACATCACATGCATAATATTAGCATTTTGTAATATGGTAGTTTCCCTAAATAGGGGGTCCTCAATAAAGACCCCAAAACACTATAGCCCTCGGTATCCCAGATTTTGGAAAAGTCCCCATATGAGTAGAATTGTATTTGGGGATTTATGGTACCTATTATAGAGTAAGATTAGATTCCTCCTTTGGGGGTTTAGTTTTTTTATATAAGGAACATCATCTTCTTGGGTTTAACCACCCAAAAAAAACGCTGCTCATGTGCCGCCCCAGGCACCTACGGTCTGGGCTTATGGGCCTTCTCCAAAGGTGGCGAGGTCCGGAAGGCAAACTCCACCATCCTGGAATCTGGTTGGCGCTTAGTTACTCCATAAATGGGAGCCCTATCATGTGAGCTTTGGTCTAAACTCCTTAACAGGGTATATAAAGGGGATTATATTGGGGACTACTACACGGATTCTTAGGGGGGATATTAGGAGTTTAGACAATGGCTCATATACGATACTTTCGCATTATGGTAAGCCCTTGACCCTAGACCCTAACCCCCTTTGCGAAAGCAAACGCTATGCCCTTAACCTACCCTAGGGCTCCAAATAGCCCAATGTAGGTACTATTTATAGGTATTGGGGCCCTAAACCCTAAACCCTAAACCCTAAACCCTAAACCTACTTGAAGTTCCTGAACAGCCTCCCAGGACAAGCTGTCCTACGCTCGTCACGGTGCCCGGGCAACGCGGTTCCTGCTACAGGATCCTGGAGGGCCTTTTAATAAGGTTTTAGGGTTTAGGGTTTTAGGGTTTTAGGATTTAGGGTTTTAGGAATTTTAGGGTTTCGGGTTTTAGGGTTTAGGGTTTAGGGTTATTATAGTATAGCCCTAAGGAATTTGTAAAAATGCTATCTTTATTGAAGGTCTCAGGGGACTACAGTTAAAGGGATCCCGCCAGGCATTATTACTGGGTTGCTTGTATGGAACTTAAACTAAAGTACCATGATATGGTTTAGGGTTTAGGGTTTAGGGCTTAGGATTTAGGGCTGAGGTTGCAGTACCATATTACGGGTACATAGTAGCTGATAGGGTTTCCTTATTATGGTAACTTCATTTAAGTTCCTTAACAGCAACCCAGATTGCTGTGTTATACCACTGCTTGTTGCTGGTAGTGTTGTATCATAGAACAGTACCAAAACTTATGAGTACTGAATTCATTATTGCAGTTAATTTGGTTGTTAGTAGTCATATTAATTAGTCTTATGATTTGTTGGGCAGTTTCGTTTTCGCTGTTATTGTCGTTGTTGCTGCTGTTGAAACTTCCGTCCGCCAGGAGGGTGTGCACTCATCGCTGAGATGCGGACCGGGACCGCGCGAAGGACGGCCGCTGGAGATCGTGTTGGTATGTGTCCGTGGACAGGTGGGAAGCAGTTCCCTAAATCCCAAACGGCCCAAACGTAAACCCTACATACCCACTATAGGGTAGCTTAATTTAGGATTTCTGGCGGGGTTTCGGTCTATGGGGCTGATAGGGTCAGGCTTCAGGGCTTGTAGGGCAGGCTCATTACTCATTACTGTTGCAGATAGTTGCTTATTACTCCCCTGTATTATTCCCCCCCAGAAAATCCCCGTTAATTAGCCTTAAATCGCACGAATTATTTTCAAATACTCCTACATAAGGGGGGAGCCTACGTGGGGGGGGTGGATAGTATAGAGGTGGTAGTCTAGCCCTAAACCCTAAACCCTAAATAGCCACCACTGATATGTTTGCGGACATGCGGGCGGTAGAGGAACTCGCAGGCTCCGCCCTAAAGCTCTGGAGACTTCCATATTGTAAGACCAAATTTCAGCCCCCCAAAGCCACAACTTTTTCCCAAAAAAGGCCCGAAACCCTAAACCCTAAAACCCTAACACCCTAAAACCCTGAAACTCTAAACCCTAAGACCCTAAAACCCTAAACCCTAAAACCCTAAAACCCCAAATCCTAAACCCTAAAGATCCTAAGAGCATCTATGCGCCTAGAGGCTCTGGGATGGTGGGCTGATGGTTTATAACTCTAAGGCTCCAAATGGGGGTTTCCCAAAATTAGGGTTTAGGGTTTAGGGGTTTCCCAAAATTGGGGGTACCATTTCGGGGGTCCCCATAATAAGGGCTATAGTATTTTGGGGTCTATATTGGGGTCCCCTTATTTTGGGAAGCTACCAGATAGCCCCAATGCAGGCGATATTTATGGACTGCAGGAACAAACGTAGGGATTCGTTGACAGACGTAGAGCCCAGGGTAAGCTTACTTTTGCAGGGTTTGGAGGCTGGAGTTTGAGTGTTTAGGGGTAGGAGTGTCTCGCAACGGGGTACTGCAACGGATCCTTGGGAGATACGCAGATTCTACAGCTTACTGGTTCTTAGCTCGGAATACAGGAATCTAATTCTTATATAATGAATTCCCTTATTTCGTACTAAGCACCCAGAGGATGGGCTTACCAAGTTCTGAGTAAGCATTTTGAGGACTGCAGGAGGCATCTCAACATCAAGGTTTAGGGTTTAGGGTTTAGGGTTTGTGGTTTGTTACTTTACGCTTATGATTGCCACTGTAAGTAGCACTACACTTACCACTGCTACAGTACTCTTACCCGTGCTTCTACTATTAACTCTGTTATTCGCAACCAAGATTAATAGTCAAGGGTCTCCCAAAGAGACCACAAATAGTTTTGAGAAGGGAGGGCTACACTCAGCCCACAGGCCCATAGCCTCAACACATCTCCACAGCTTTCACTGCGCTCTTGCCCCCAGAAACTAGACCCAAATCCCAGGCCCACATTCCTATAGCCTGCCCCAAACCCTTGCAGCGCCCCTGAGTGTAGGTCTGCTCATACTTCGCTCGCTTGGGTGCTTCATCGTCCACGGCCACAGGGAGCCTGAATGTTCCCGGGAGCAGTTTTGTCAGGTGCACAGGGACTATGACAGTTTAGGGCTTAAGCTTTGTGGGGTCTAAGTTACCATGATGCATTGTCAAGCGGACAAGGTAATAAACAATGAGCCCAGCAACTGGACTTACATGGGGGTGGAAACCCCTTCAAGATATTTAATATGGCTATATCAAGACAATGGAGTTTTTGTCCTTGCAACTTGCTTTAATTTCCCCAGCAGCAACTCAGCTATAGGCGACTGTAATACACAGATCACCCTAAACCCTAAACCCTATTAAAGGGATCCCTCCCCACTGCCCTCAAGCGCCATGCATGTATATGATTCAGATCGTATTGTCTTTTTTGGACTTGGGATTTTAGGATGAGTTTGGGGATTTAGTGATTGGGGGTTTGGTTTGCGGGTTCCAGGATATGCCGTGAGGGACTGGAATTTGTGATTAGGACATATGCGCTTGGATTCGGGGATGGGGGGACCAGTGCCTTGGGGTTTAGGGTTGAAGTGTTTAGGGTTTAGGGTGATTCAGGGACGGGGGGTTAGGGTTCACCTTCTGGAAGTTCCAAAGCCTTAGGAATAGGGTTTTGTGATCTGGGAGGAGGGTTCGAGGTTGCGGGAAAAATGAATATATACTTGATATGGCTTAAGTACCGAGATCGGAGATTACCAGAACTCGGCACGTTTTCCCTAAGGGTCCAAGGACCCAAATAATAGGGTTTTAGGGCCCACATACCATTAATATTATAGTATTTGGGCTCTAAAACCCTATTATTTGGAGATTACCAGAACCCCTATAACCCTAAACCCTAAAAAAGTTTCGCATGCCGGTATACCTTGCATCAATCAGCAGATCCCCAACACATGTACTACAGTCTAAACTCTTTAAAGGTGGATTATATGAGGGAATATATAGGATACTACTATAGGGGTTCCTCAGGGAGATACTAGGAGTTTAGACTATAGCTCAAATGAATCAACATGTCAGAGCCAGGGTGTAGAGTCGCATGGGGGTAGGTGCTCTATTTGGATATGGGCGTTTCCGAAAATTAGGGGTCCCCATAGAGAGGATTCACACAAATAGTACCTGCGTCCTTGAATTGGGTTCAGAGCTTTGTTTGAAGATGCTCGGCTGCTTAGGTTTGGGTACCGGTAGTGATGCCTGGACCCGAAAAGCGAGTAAAATCATGTCCTAGAATCTTAAGAATGGCCAAACAGGCCTCTATCCCAAGGTATTAGAACGGAATTCCAAATCATGTTTTTCGTCAATTCGGTCACTTCGGCATGTTGGCAATCCGCAGAAGCTGCGAGGCGTTCGGAGTTCGAGAGCTCACCCGAGTTCGCAGAGGCAGCCGAGTTGGTGCGCAAAGAGCCTGAGCGGTCATCCGTTTAGTAATTAAATAACGTTGGCCTACCTAAACCCCAAAAGTATGTAAAATAATGGCCTTTATGGCTGTTGTTATGGGTTTAGGGCTATTGTTTTGCATACTTTTGGGGCTTAGGTAATCCAAAAATGCTCTCCAAAGGAGTTGAAATTCGAAGATTGTGTCATTATACATCGTGGGGAAGAGATCTGTACTTGAGGCTGCCTACTCTAGCTTCCATGCCATAGGAAACGTGCTCGCTTCGCCTGCTGTGAAGGAATGGATCTCCTCAGGAGCCCCTATACAGTACCATACAACACTCATCATTACTGCTCGTGCTGAACTTCCTCATCTCATTCCTCACTAAGCACTGCAGAAGAATTTTTTTGGGAAGTTTTTACATAGGCCCTAAGTCCGAAAAGCGTCCACCATCAGTAAAACCTAAAACCCCAAGCCCAGTGCCTTGCCGATCATGGTTTTCATCTTTTGCTGCTTATAACTCCAACTAGCAGCCAAGTCCATGGCAGATGGAAACCATTATCATCGGCATCCCCCTAGCAGCAAGAGCAAAGTCATTATACAGTCCCAACAGTAAGTACTGATAGCCCTAGATAGCAAAAAAAATCGCCCAAAATGCTATTATTCAACATACTTTGGGTCTAGGAAATCCTAAAACCCTAAACCCTAAACCATTCAGGAATGGGGGCGCTACGTCCTACTTGGAAGGGCCGCTATGCTTGCCATGGCGCGCGAGGCAGTTTGGTACAGCGCGGATCAGATCTAACTCTCGAGCCCCTGAGTCCTAAGCCTACAACACCAAGCCTTGCACTACCACACTCTCCAAAAGCAGGGTAGAGGGTTCCGGGTTTAGGGGTTTAGGGTTCAGGGTCTAGGGGTTTAGGGTTTAAGGGTTGAGGGGTTTAGGGGTTTAGGGGTTCAGGGTTTAAGGGTTTACGATTGAGGGGTTTAGTGTTTAGGGTTTATAAGCCCGGCCCTAAGACCTAGACAGATAAAGGGGTTACATTGGGGGTACATAGGGGTTTTAGTAGTTATATTATGTTGGCCCAAGAATGGAGGATCAAATGGACAAAGCAACTTGAAAATGCAATGCTAACTACTCCTCAGAGCCTAAACCCTCCTTAACCCTAAACCCTAAAACCCCTAGACCCTAAACCTTAACCCTTAAGCCTAAACCCTAAAACCCTAAACCCTAAAACCCTAAAACCCTAAACCCTAAACCTAGAGCTGACAAAGAGGCCATTTGGTATAGCCTGGCCCTGGCATCCCCCGGTGCTGGCTTAGATCTCTACGCAGCATCTTCGCTCCTGTTGACAGAGTCTATAGGGGCCTCCAAAATAGTTTGTGATTGTTGGTTACCATAACCCCAATAACAACCAACAAATATGATTTTTGGTGGAGTTCTGAGGCCAGTTTAGGAGTTAGTTTTTTGTCTTAGTATGATTGCTGGTGTTGGTATGTTTGCAATTTCTTCAAACCATTGGTATCAAGTAGCATGAGTAGTACTACAGCTGACCCCTGACTTTCAACACATGTAATCGTGTTGGCATATACAAATGTTCTGAAATAGTTGTTAGTGGAGTGTATATAGCGGCACTTCAGAATGTTCGTGAGTGTACATTCCGGGTGTCCACTTGGGGAAACCATACATAAGAACCACCATAGTTTCAGGGTCCCTTGTACTCCGTAACTGCTAAAGATATTGTTTTTCTTCCTAGCCCTGGGGCTCCATGTCTATAAAGAATACCTACATTGGGTCCCAAGACCTATAAATAGTACCTACATTGGGCTATTTGGAGCCCTAAATCCTAAACCCTAAACCCTAAACCCTGAACCTAGGATCCCTATTATAATCCCTATTTGGAGCCCTAAAATAGGCTGGAGGTTTGGCAAAGTTGTGGAGCATTTTTAAGCTTTTGCTCGTGTCGGAGTCGGACCTGCAAGGTTTCTCTTAACTACACTCCCCCAAACTAACATGGAAACCCATATATCCCCTAGATTATCACCCTAGGGCTCCATGTCTGTAAATACCTGGACCCCCAAAGTATGTAAAATAATGGCCTTTATGGCTATTATTATGGGTTTAGGGCTATTATTTTACATACTTTTGGGGTTTAGGTAGTACCTACATTGGGCCCCAAAGTCCATAGATATGACCTACATTGGGCTATTTGGAGCCTTAGGGTCATGGAACCTGAAAAAGGGCCATTCCGTTTTTAGAGAAGTTTCTTCTTGTGCCCATGCTTTTTTTCGGCGGAAGGGTCAGTTGCATGTCATACCTACAGCATCACTGTAAGCCTCAAACCTACACCCTGCATATCGCTATTACCCTCCACAGCCCCAATCCCCCAGACAAAAATCATCTTGAGACAAGCATTCCTACACATATGTATACATCTCTTCATATATATATATATACATGTATAGCTGAATCTCCACCCCAACATATTAAACAACTGAAAACCACAATGCCTACAAGACCCCAGGCACCATGCGCGGAGTGGGTGGAGGCAGTTCCTGCAGTTGATCCTGAAGCTGCCTCTGGAGGGAAGCCTCCAGATTCTGCTGCAGGTGGTGACCGGGGGTCGGTTTGCTTTGTACGAGTTCTATAGGGGTACGTAGGGAAATCTTAGGGTTTAGGATGTTTGGGATCTAGGGTTTAGGGCTTACAACTATAGGGTTTAAGCTGCGGGGCGGAAGGGTTTGAGGTGTGTTTTTTGAGATTTAGGGCTGGTTGGGGTATGCCGGCTTCGGAAATTTGTGACTCCATATAATCAGGAAATTTGATGCGAACATGTTATGCAATGGTTATGTGGATGAACGTTTCAGAGAAGAGAAGCCAGTGACCTTCCTTGGAGGAGGAATGTAGAAGCCTGAATCTCTACATGGCCATAGCATTCGTAGCAGCGCTTTTTTTACAATATGCTGTACCTCAAAGCCCTGTTGCAAATAGTCAAGCCTCTTCACCCTAAACCCCATTCAGCCCTAGATTTGGAACGGCACCCCAATTTCAATCATCTAGGACCCTACATGGGGGATTGTCAAAATTATGGTCCCTTTTTGGGTCCCTATTATAATACGGGGCCTAATACGGGGCCTAATTTAGGGGACCCTAAACCCTAAATCCTAAACCCTAAACCCATGAGCCAGGTCCTGCAGATGCTGGGGTTTTGGAGGGCAAGCGCAATCGCAGGAGGAAGATGCAGCGAGAGTCTTCTCCACTCCCCCCCGAGACTTCGACAAGAACAGGGGAACTGCAATTTTTTTGGGGGGAGTAAGGTGGCTATTGGAGGAGTAAGCTATGGAAGAGAACATGAAAACTACCATCCTTTCTAGGGTTTAGGTTTTAGGGTGGTTAGTAGAGAATGAATGGGTGGCTAATGAAACGAAGGCTACGCATTATTTATAGTGTAGGGCTTAGGTTTCTTAACCCGGATTGAAAAAATCGACAAAAACAAAACGCTGCACGATGCGCTGCTTCTGGTTCAGGGTTGGAGTCAAGGCGGAATTTTAGAATGGACCGTACTGGGGTATGGAGTTGGTAGTTGATACTGGAGACTACGAAGGGAAAACGACAAGGATCCATTCCCTCCTTGCATGCTTACCCCTAGTAAGGAGATTGCTGATGCCATGCTTCGTCGGCTTCTTGACCGCTGTTGAGAAAACATTGTGGGAGTTCTCGGAAACAGTCGCTGTAAAAATCCTGGATGGGAAACCGCTCCGTAATTGTTAGACAAAAAAATATTCCAAGATTCCCGGGGTATCCCGGAAAGAGCCTTATTTTGCAAAGTGTGAGGAAATGTATGAAAAAAGCTGCACCTATGACCGAAATTGCATAACATGTGGTAGGCATGTTTATGACCCTTCAAGGCATATGATATCCCCACTAATCCCCATGATTAATTAAAACAAGTCCCGTGACCCTCCGAGTAAGGTCTAGGATATTGCAAAATGGATGCGCTTTCCGACAACAACCCCCGACGTATTTAAAAATCAAATGCCCTCATTCTCAGAGCCAGCCTAAACCCTCTAAACCGCAAACCCGAAACCCGACAAACCCTTAACCTTATAAACCGCTAAACCCTGTGAACCCTCTAAACCCACCCCCTGAACCCTAAACCCCCTAAACCATCTAAATCCCAAACCCCTGAGGGTGCAAAGACCCAAATAATAGGGCTTTAGGGCCCAAATACTCTAATATTAATGGTATTTGGGCCCTAAACCCCTAATATTTGGGTCCTTGGACCCTTAGGGAAACCCTAAACCCCAAACCCTAAACCCTAAACCCTAAACCCCCTAAACCATCTAAATCCCAAACCCTAAGCCCCAAACCCTAAACCCTAAACCCTAATCCCTAAATCCCAAACCCTATAAACCTTTTCGGAGCAAGGCTCGTCTCGCAAGCCATGTCCGTAGTCGTTCAACGCCTGGAAGGCGTTGCTGGATCCCGCGTAGCGCGCCAGAGGCGGGGGATCCAACGGTTTAGGTTTAGGGTTTAGGGTTTAGGATTTAGGGTTTAGGGTTTAGGGTTTACCTTCCTAGACCTTCCTACCCGCTATTAGGGCCTAAGTACCTACTATTAGGGACCATATATCCCCAATTAAGGGTACAAGGAGGGTCCTGGTTTGAAGGGGGATGTAAGGGCTATAGGGCTGTATAGGAGGATTTAGAGTTTTTTTTAGTGTTGAGGGTTTCCCAAAATTGTGGGTATCTTTAAAGCGGGATATGGGGGCTATAGGGCTGTTTCGGAGGATTTAGAGTTTAGGGATCAGAGTTTAGGGTTCACAAAATAAGCGGTACCTTATCAAGGGTCCCCTTATTTTGGGTTCTACATCGGGGTCCCCTGTATTTAGGGAAACTGCCAGGTTTGCACAAACACTCACAGTGTGGCGGCGAGAAGCATTGAGAGACCTGCGCCGGGATACTGCAATCACGCCAGACCCTGGTTTGTTCAGGATTTGGAGTTTGGGGTCTATTGTTACGGCGTTGTAGAGGTTCCAAATGCAGCACCATCGGCACCAAACGACCATGGGTCAGCATGGGTCCTTGTATGTTGCAGACCCTGCCATAATGTTGTAGCCTGATTAGCGCTGCGGGTGCCAAGTATAGTTTGTAGAAAAGTTCTTCTGGACCCCCTCTTCGATTTGCGGGGTGCCAAGAAAGTTAAGTCTTCTGCGCCTAAGAGAACCTGGGGAGGTTTCGATGAGGTCAAAATGCTATCGGTTTTTAAAAGTCATGCCTTTCAATACAAGGACAAAATCTGGAATTCGATGCCACCAAAAACAATCGATTTCTTATTCAACCGCTTATTTGGACATGCTAGGCCATCAACTTCCGAAGGAGGTAGTCCAGCAGAGCCCTTCATCCTCAACAATATGAATGATTTGGGTTGGTCAACTATGTAAAGATTTCTGGCCGGGTTGGTTAATTGTGAGAACACAAAGCTATCCCTAAGGGTCCAAGGACTCAAGTAAGGCTCAAATATTATGATCTGTCTGGTATTTGGGACCTAAAGCCCTATTATTTGGGTCCTTGGACCCTTAGGGTATTATTAGATTTAAGAGCTTTGAGAGAACAAGGCCAGGCTCTATCACCTTGGGAATCTAGAATCTGACGCTACCAAAACATCGATTTTTTGCTAACCTGCTTATTCAAAAAGGCTAGGCAAGAAAGGTTGCCAAGGGGGTAACCCAGCAAACTCCCCTGATCTTCAATAATCTGAAAATCTTTAGGGAGGGTGGTCAGTTACGTAAAGTTTTTTTGGCTGAGTTAATGGTGAGAGCATTCCGATTTGTGTACACTTTTCTCATTCGGTTTAACTAAATTTGAATAGATGTTCTATGGTATCAGACCTTCAACATAAAGGCCGAGCTCTATTGCTGAGGACTAAGTCCTTAGGAATTCAGTAGAAGCAGAAGGGTCTTCCTTCCCTTATTGACTGTACTAAAAGCCAGATAGGGTCACCCGGATCCTCCCACTTCCTTGTGAGGACTTTCTTTTTTCGTTTGGGGGGCGCCACGCTATTCAGGATCCAACATTATTCAGGGTCACTACATTGGCTTGCCCACTTGAAGAATCATAAAACTGACAAACTCAGATACTCCCCTCCCCTACCAACAACCCACACGCCCCGAATAGCAAATGCCCCCCAATATACTACCATCGTATGCTCAGGGAAGATTGATTATTTGCGAGGGGTCGGGAGGATCTTGTAATGGCGGGGACTACATGTTTTTTTTTTTTTTTTTT